TAGTGAATAGTGCATATTCAACAATATCACCAATATTCATCAATATTCATCAATTTGATTCCAATTGGATTATTGTGCATTTGTATTGGATTACCATAATTTTGTGAATCGGAATACAATATTGTTCAATCTTTGGATTCATATTAGCTATTTTAAAGGTAAGAGAATTAAAGCTTTCTAAACTACTAATCAGGTGAAAATTGCGCGCTTACAAGTCTCTTTTGACACATTATCACTCGCATCTTTGATCATGTTTTTGAGGTGGTTTTTGTGAACAATTTTTGCTTGGTATACCTCAGACTTCAGATGGCCCGAAAAAATCACACGGGTTTCAATCAGGTGAAAATCGTGGCAAATCTATGATTCCTACACAGAAGTTCGAATACTCTAGGCCAATAAAGCGCTCATCAAACGTGTCATAAATGGCGTCGAAGACATCACGTGCCCATCCTGCATAAACCAATCAATCCCGTACCGGGTCGATTTTAAATAAATAAGGAAAAAGTGGTTTTGCAATAAAGCTTTTTAGCGCTCTTCATTTACAGTTCAATCAAAAATACTGGTTCAAATATTCCCGAGGTGGATATAGCACACCAAACAAGAATTTTTTGAGGATTTAGTGTTTTGATTATAGACCATAATATTAACAGTGTTTGTTCATCATTATCAACTAATATAGATCATGCCTACGCTAATCAAGATGTATCGCAGTTAGCTTGTCTCGAATTCAGATGTATGCGCGAACAAGGAGTTCTCAAAAAACTACAAAGAGTGTTGTTGTGAAGAGTTAGAATGCGCTGAATTCATTTAATAAAAAGAAACGTAAGTGCAGTCAAATATTCTACTAACAAGGGAAACACCCGAACCGCTCCGAACAGATTTCAATGATAAGTGTGTCATTTTGAAAAGTTCATAGATAAACAACAGAGGTCACTCTCTTAAGAATAGCAAAACAGCAGAACTGGGTTAAATCGCCATTTCGTTTCAATACCATCAATAAGCAACAAAGTTAAAATTTTTCATTTTATCGCAATGGATTTCAATCCAGCAAATAATTTAATTCTGTGCAAAACTAAATTGAATCAAGAGTACCCAAACATACAACCAATTCAACCTACAATCGAGGAAAAGTTATTTGCTAATGCAATATACTCTTCAATTATAGCAAAATCTCAACAAAGGCTTATTATGGAAGAAAAGCTGTGTTTGGACTACAATGATGATGCTGATAGTGATGATGATTGCTCAATCGATCAGCATGCTTCGATATCATCCTCTCAGCCTGAGCCAATAGAAGTTATTTCATCATCATCTTCCCAAGAAACTGCAAGTGATGAGCCATCCAGTGAGGAACAATATGAAGCACCTTCTACATCATTAGCTGCGGATACGAGAGTAAGTGCATCAACTGTACAAAAAATATTTGATTACACACAGAAACATAGTTGCGGGCAAGCGGCTAAGCGGTACAGAAAATCGAAAAGTTTCATACAAGATATAGTTGAATCGCAAAGAAAAGGAGGATCTAAACAAGCGAAATTGGAAAAAATTAAAGATCACTGCCAGTTAATGTTCGCGGAAAGTCACCGTAATGGCAATATTATTCATTACTAGAATTTACAAGAATGGGCTAGAGTCAAAGCAAGTGAAGTTGGATTACAGGACTTTAAAGCTTCAGTAAATTTTAAAAAAGCCAACAACATTGTTAGCCGGCAAGTGACCCAATTTGTTAGAAGAAGGAAAATCACTGATGAAGCTGAAATATTGGAAACGGCAAAAGCTTTTGTCAATAAAATCAACCAATTTACTGATGATGAAAGTATACCAGATGAATATGTCTTCAATACTGGCCAAACGAAGATTGAATATGAATTGACCGGTAATCGCACTTTATCCATAAGAGAA